GCGCGGCCGCCGGGCTCCCAGGCGCTCGCCCTGACGGACTGGCCGAGCGGGCGGCGAGAGGCCGGCGCGCCGGGAGCGGGCCGAGCGGCACCATGTCGGCCAAGGTGCGGCTCAAGAAGCTGGAGCAGCTGCTCCTGGACGGGCCGTGGCGCAACGAGAGCGCCCTGAGCGTGGAGACGCTGCTGGACGTGCTGGTCTGCCTGTACACCGAGTGCAGCCACTCGGCCCTGCGCCGCGACAAGTACGTGGCCGAGTTCCTCGAGTGGGGTAAGTGCGCGCCAGCCCGACCCCTTCTGCCTTGGGACCCCGCCGCCCCGCGCAGGGATGCCGCGCCCTCCTCTCCCGCGGGCGGCCCGAGGGCCTCCACCTGGACCCTCTCCCCGGGCCCTCTGTGCGGCCTCGTCCCTCGCACCCGAGTCCTCCGGTCCGCCCCTTCATCCTGCCCCTTCGGAATCACATCCTCCGTTCCCCCTGCCCCCCCTCCCGCCGGGCCATCGCCCCAGCCGCTTCCTAGATCCACCCTCCAATCTGGATATCATTTCCTGCAGCGCTCCCTGGGACATCCGTCGCCCCACACTCACACCTCGGCTCTGGGGTCCACGGGCAGGTTGAGGTGCCCTCCCGCCCCACGCTGCCGAGTCGTGGGGGCATCTGCCTCGCCCACCGCCCCGCCCCCCAGTCTTGTACACCTCCTAGGAGCCCAGCTCGTAGGGACCCTCCTACGTGACAGCCTGGTTCCATCTCCGGGTGGCGGGGAGGTTTCGGGGTATAAACACCCTCTTTGCGCTGGCACCTCCAACCGCCTCGAACCCACCCTGTAAGGAGCACATTGATTTTTTTTCGTGGGAACTGCCCAGTTTGGGCGGGATGAAACTGCCAGTGTGTTGAAGCCATGTAAAAACGTTCTTCATTTGGTCTTTGCATACCTTTTCTCGTGCCAGCTTCTCTGGAGAACTTGTCATTGAAAGATCTGTGATGCTACCCAAAGAGACACTTGACCCCCCTGTGTGTACTTTACTGGGAGAAGATGTGATGAAGTCACCTAGGGATGTTGTGCCCATTTGGGGACCTGTACTGTGTGTAAGGAGCACCTGTGCGGGGCTCCACAGTTGAACCGGAGAGGCTGCTTGGCGGGAGAAAGACTGGGTTGATCACCTGCTTCCTTAAAGATTACAGCCTTGAATCCCTACGGGCCAGTTCTGCCCTGCCCTTGGTCACTGTGAGTCAGAATCCACTCAGTGACAACGGGTTTCGTGCTGTGCATACCAGAGTAACAGGTTCTGTGCTATTTAGAGAGTAACTTGACGGAGTCACCTGTGTGCTGTACCAGGAAAAAAGATTTGGAATGAGCCACCAAATGATCACTAGAGAGCCTGAAGACCCGTGGAAGTGTAAAGTGACACTATTTCCTCTCTCCCTAGACCCACCCTCGGCCTCTTGGGGTTCTTAACACCCGAAACAACCGAGGTGGAGGAGGCAGTGTTAAACCATAAAAATCTTATCTCAGGGTCCTTTGAGTCACCGGGCCAGGGCTGCTGAGGTTGGAGGCAGTAGCTTCGAATCTTTGCCACAGATAAAGCGGTCTTGAAAATGTTCGCTTGGAATGTGGCGTTTTGTTGAAGAAAGTAACAGCCGCTGCTGCATCCTTCAGCGGTCTTCCACTCTTTGCTCTTTGGCCATGAGTTGGCATGACAGCGGGTCACTCCTGGTTTCTGTGAGGACCACTTCCTTGAGTGGCCGCTGCAGGATGTGTGGGCTGGCTGCCTTCTGCCTTCGGTGTGGGGATTGGCCAGCAGCTGGGTGCCCTTAAGGAGCCGTAGGTTAAGCATTGGGTTGCTATCTGAAAGGTCACTGATTCAAGCTCACGAAAGAAGGAGGTGGCAATCTGCTTCCGTGAAGATTTATCGCCTCGGGGACCCTGTGGAGCAGTTCTCCCCTGTCCTGTAGGGCTGCCGTGAGTCAGAATGGAATTGGTGGCAGTGGGTTGGGGTGTCCTCTGGAACGATAGTCACAGTGCACCTGCCTCTCACCGTCCACACCGTGGACCGGGTTGGATGTGTCCCCTTCTTGGCATATTTGCGGGCTAGGGTTTGAGATCTGACCCAAATTGAAGCAGAAGCTGGTGTGCTAGAAATGGTTTCCACAGTTGTGTCCTGGCTCTGCGGAACTGCAGTGACGAATATGTCCCATCATTCTCTGCCTACGAGCTCTGTGCACACAAGTGTCAGCTTGGAGTTGTGAAGAAAAAACATAGGCTGCAATTTAAGACGGCACTTTATATGAAATATTATTGCACTTCGGAAGTAGCACTTCATCTTGTGTGTGTTCACGAGCGCACGCCATCGCTGTCAGGCTGTTCCCGGCTACTGCGGTTAGAGTGCCAAGAATGGACGTTCAGGTAGAATTGTTGGTGAGCCCTTAAGTTCCAGGCTCTTAGGAAAAGGACCCACCCCCACTGCCATTGAGTGGATTCCAACTCAGAGATCCTATAGGATGGAGAAGAACTGCTCTTCCAAGAAATCTTTCGGAGGGGAGATCAAACCTCCTTATCTGGAGCTTGAACCAGTGACCTTAAGGGTTAGCAGCCTAACCTCTAACCCACCATGCCACCAGGACCCTTTCTTGGGAAACTTGCTCTGTAGGAGAAAGACTGGGCTTTCTATTCTATTAAAGAGTGACGGCTTTGGAAACCCACAGGGGCAGTTCCACTCTGTACTACAGGAGGTGGCAATCTGCCTCCGTGAAGACTTGTCGCCTCGGGAACTCTGAGGAGCCGTTCTCCCCTGCCCTGTAGGGGTGCTGTGAGTTGCGATGGAATGGGTGACAGTGGGTACTATAGGGTCCCTATCAGTCTGAAATGACTCGGTGGCAGTGAGTGAGTTTGTGTTTGCTCCTGGGAATAATTTCCCCTCCATCTATACTGGTAACCAAGAAAATCCCACCCCTGCCATCAAGTTGATCCTGACTTGCGGTAACCCTCCATAGGGCTTGTGAGGCGGTCAGTTTTGGCGGACGCAGGGAGCCGCCTCTTTTTTCTTGGAGTGGCTGGTGGGTTGGGAGGGCCAGCCTTGTGGTTAGCGGCCTAGTGCTTACCTAGAGCCCCACCTGGGCCTTTCTGAGCTGCAGCACATCGATCGCTCAAGACCCGGAACTAAAACACGGAGACCCCGGCTGGCACACATGGCAAAGTGTTCCCTTAGGTCCCGACTCACCCCGAGGCGCCTCGGAAGGCAGGCCTGGTGATATGCTCCCACAAGGTTCCAGTCTCAACCCCGTGGAGTGGTTCTTAGCGCACCGGGGTCACCAGGAACCGGGCAGCAGCTGTAGTTGGAGTACCTTCATCCCTGCTCACTGTGGGCCTGTGCATGTGCGCACCCAGGCCTGTAACACATACGTGCACACATATAAGCCTTGGTCCTGGGCTCCCAGAGTTTTGGAATTCACACACATTCCTCTTTGACCCCTGACATGCCTGTGACGAGGATGAGTCAGCCTCTCCCCACCTCCCAATTTTGCCCACTAAGATCGAGGTGGAATTCTTAAAACTTAAAGCGGCTGCTGACTCAGCCCAGAGTTTGAGACTTAACTGTGAGATCCTTGAGGAAACACAGAAAATCCCAGTCGTGAAAGCTCCCAGGCTTTACAAGAAGAGTCACAGGCTCGTGCGGCTGTGTTGCCAGCAAGCAGGCACGGAACAAGGTGCTTTTTCGCCTTCAGTTCGGGGTTTTGCCTTTCATTCCTCCTTGATCGTGTTTATACTTGGACTGGCTCCCCCCCTTTGAGATCCCAGGCCTTAATTAAAAGGTGGAAGTGCCGGGCTCTGCATGTACATTTCTGTAAGCTGTTGTTTTCCCAATGCAAATTTGAGACCATTTGAAGGGGAGCAAATGACACACTTAAAGGTTCCGTCGAGTAAGCAGCAAGTCGAGTAAGCAGCAACACGTCTAGCCGTCTAGGTGGGCAGCTTGGATGCAGTGCTTTAAGATGGTGTTAGCGTGTGCATTTGCTCATGGCTCAGATCTGAAAGCCTTGTGTCACATTGGTACAGAACTGGGGTGTGACGCCCAGGATGGGACTGCAGTGACCATTGCACCCTAGGCCATTGGCCTAGAGAGCCTGGTGTGGACACGGCTTGCAGGGCCCCCGAGCCTGGGTGCCCAGGCTGCTCTGCCTGCGTATCTTGAAGACAGTTCGCCTCCCGCGCCTTTGGCTGTATTTCCAACAATGACTGACGAAGTCTGAGGTCAAGGGGAGTGCCAGGGGCCCTTCCCTGGGAGACGTCTTGTCCGAGAGGTGTGTTGGAAGACTGGGACAGCGCCTCACCCACACGTAATGAACTGGGGCTGAACTGAAGGTGCTTGCCGGCCCAGAAGACACTGTCATCTCCGTGTTGTCCTCGTGTGGGAATGGGCCTGGGAGGGGAATTCGGGCCTTACACCAGGAAACTTGGGCCAGCCGAGGTCATTTTGATTGCTGGCTGTTTGAAATGGATACTGCTGTCCATGACCCGGCCCGAGACGGGATGGTTGAAACCATTAAACGTGTTCTCTCTCCACAAACCTTTGTCATGGGCAGCTGGGCTTGAGGGTGGCCAGTGGGGTCTCTGTTAAGTCTTGGCTTGAAGTGTGATTGCAATGGGTCATGTTCCACGATCACCTGAACAAGTGTGTCAGGGGCAGCACTTGAGCTTCCAGCACATTCTCAGAGGTCCCATAAGTGAGCCAACTCGCCAAACCCAAACGTTGCCAAACAGCCCCTCCTCCCTGTGCAGAGCCTGATGCCCTGAGGACGTCAGCACTGTTTGCACTGACATCACTGATGCTGGCTAAACACGCGGGCACGCAGGCCTGTTAATTCCTAACTGTGTAAGACTGGAAACTCCTGGATGCTTTTCTCAAAGAAATAAACAGGCTAATCACAGTCAAAGGACATGGGTGGTGGAGAGTGGATACATATTATTTCCCCCCTTTTTATTGAAAAAAGGGATCAAATAAAGTTAAAGGAATATTTGAAATAAAAACAAAACAACTCAGCGGGAATCTCACCTCCTCTTCCCATTCTCCACAGACCCAGTGTCAGTCCCTGTCCTCGGTCGGGGAGGGTTTGTTCTGCCATTCTAGGGGTGACATGGGATCATAGGGCTGAAACTCCCTGCTGCAGAGTCAGTTCTGACTCATAGTGACCCTATAGAATAGAGGAGAACTGCCCCTGTGGGTCTCCCAGAAACTAACCTTTTACAGGATTAGAAGTCCTTGTCTTTCTTCTGA